GGCCCCTCGGTCGGGGGGCCTCCCCAGGGGCCCCCAACCCCCAGGGGGGCCGCCCTGGGTTCACCTGGACAGGGGCCCCCGGGGGCCCCCCGAGAAGGTCCCTTATTGGGGCCCCCTGTGAGGGGCCCCCCTAGGGGCCCCTCACGGGGGCACCTCTTGGGGCCTCCACCGGGGGGCCCCTCCCAGGGGGCCTCTCCCAGGGGCCTCTTTTGGGGGGCCCCCAGGGGGGCCCCCTCCCCACAGGGGGGCCCCTCCTGGGAGCCCTTTTTGGGGGTACCACAGGGGGGCTCTTCAGGGGGACCCCTTCAGAGGGCCCCCTGTGGGGCCCCTCCTGGAGGCCCCTAGAGGGGTCCCCTGTGGGGACCCTAGAGGGAGCCTCTGTGGGGCCCCTCCTGGGGGCCCCTTGTGGGGCCCCTCCTTGGGGCCCCTTGTGGGGCCCCTCCTGGGGGCCCCTTGTGGGGCCCCTCCTGGGGGCCTCTTCAATTAGTTCCTGGGGGCCCCTGGACTGCCGGCAGCCTCCGCGCCATTGGCTCGTGCGACGCATGGGGTGTACGTACACCTCAACTTGTATGATGGGCACTTCAGTTTTTCTTTGAACTTTAATAACAGGAAAATGAAATCCAAAAACCGGTTTACCCTCTGTGAAGCCTCATGGGGGCCCCTAGGGGGCCCCAGGGGGTCCCCTAGGGGCTCTCTAAGGGGCCCCCATAAGGCTCCGGGCTGTGTGGCCCCGGGGGCCTCCCTGCGGCCCCCCTGAGGGCCCCAGAGGGCCCCCAAAAAGCCTCGTGCTGCACTTAGTGCCCTAGGGGGACCCCAGGCCAGCGCCGGGTCAGGGTTGTGCGTGTAGGTCTAATTAGATTGGGGCCCCTTAGGGTTTAGGGTTTAGGGTTTAGGGTTTCAGGTGGGGGGCCCCTGGGGCCCCCCAGGTACTTGATGGGTACTGATTAGAGCAACAGGGACTTAGAAAAGGGTACTAGGGATGAGAAGCTGCTGCAGCAGCACCAGCACAAGCAGCAGCTGCTTCTGCGCGCTGCGCCGCAGCGTAGCGGGACACCGCAGTCCCAGAGCAGCAGCAGCAGCAGTAGTCTCAACAACAAAAGTGCAGCGGAAGCAGCAGCAGCAGCAGCAGCAGCAGCGGCAGCAGCATGTGCAGGCTTGCTGCCTTCTGCCGTTTCTTTTGGGTGTACAGGGCCCCCCCCTAAAACTTCTCCATGGGGGCCCCCAAGAGAGGGGCCCCCCCACTTATGCACCCTTTGTCTCTGGGGGCCCCTCGAGAAAGTATGGAGGCTAAAGTCACGCCCCCTCTGTGGGGCCCCTACTAACGGGGCCCCTTGTATAAGGGACCCCCAGCAGTAGAAATGGCGTTTTTGCTTTTTGTTTTAATTGCAACAAACGGAAAGGCTGCTGACCTCCCATTTGCAATGATCTAGGGGGCCCCAAGGGGGCCCCTGGAGCCTTAGGGGGCCCCTGGGGGCCCCTGGGGCCCCTGAGGTCCTCAAACCCACTCCAGGGGACCCTAGCTCAGTTATATAGGAATCCTGCGTTCTCTGCCCTCACTTTTTGATTTTTTAAATTAAATGAACAATTTAAATTGAAATATGAACAAAAGTTTAGGCAGAGGGCCCTCGGTGTCGTACACCGGAGCGTTGGACCCCCAAACGCCAGGGGGCCCCCAGCCTCGAAGGTTTCCAGGCTTTCTGGGCCCCCCCCTGCACTCACCCCTTTTTGTGGAGCTACAAAGCCAATCTAGAGGCCATATTTTTGTTTATTTTATTGCATTTAGGGCGCTTAGAGTGTGAGGCTGAGGGTTTAGGCTTTAGGGTTTAGGGTTTAGGGTTTAGGGTTTGGCATTGAACCGAAGATGGTTCACAAGCACGCGTCAAGTCTGCTGGGCCCCAGAGCCCCCTTTAGGCCATCCCACGAAGGCGGGGCCCTGGGGGCCCTTTGCAGCACAGCAGCTACCACAGCAGCAGCAGCAGCAGCAGCAGCAGCAGGTTCTGCTGCTGCTGCTGCTTCTCAGCAGAAATTTTTGCTGCGGCAGCAGCAAGCTAACACAGAGGCCTTTCATCTTCCACGTCGCCTTCCCGTCTGGCGCCAGTCTCACCTCCAGCAGCAGGCACTGCAGCAGCAGCAGCAGCAGCAGCAGCGGGGTTTTTCGTTTGTGCAGCCGCACTGCGTGCGGCGGGCGCTGCCCGTAAGTGCAGCAGCAATTGGCAGCCTCAGCCCCTCAGCACTTTGCTGCTTGCTGCGAGCAGCAGCAGCAAAAGGATTAAAGTCTGGGGCTTTTTGGCGAGAAGCAGAACGCCGGCTGCTGTTCCTGGCCAACTCCCTTTCTCCTGCTGCTGCTGCTGCTGCTGCTGCTGCGCTCGCCACGGCCAGGCGCAGCAACCCCCTGCTGCTACAGCGCCTCGAGCTCAGGGCCATCGAGACAAAAAATGTAACCAAACCCTAAACCCTAAACCCTAAACCCTAAACCCTTCTCCTAAGCCTCTCTAAACCCTCAGCTGTAAACCCTAAACCACAAACCCTAAGTCTTGCTGCTGGCCATGTGAAGGGCCCTCAGCGCCAACTAGTCCCATGTGAACGGGCATCGTTGCTGCTGCTGTGGCTGTGCTTGCTGCTGCTGCTGCTGCTGCTGCGGCAGGGCTTTGACGGGCTCCAAGCAGCTTTGCTGCTGAACGCCTTCGCCCGCCTGGGGTATCCAGCCAACGAGCTGCTGCCGCATTTCTCCGAAATGCTCTTGAGGGCAAGTAGCTGCTGCTGCTGCTGCTGCTGCTGCTGCTACTGCTGCTGCTGGTTGCTGCTGCTGTGCAGCAGGAGCTTGCGGCTGTGGCTCATGCGCCAGTAGTACGCAAGAGGAATAAACACAGCTGCGCATTTGCTGCTTGCCTTTGCGGCTGTTGCTGCTGATGCTGTTGCTGCTGCAACTGCGTTTGCTGCTGCTGTTGCTGTTGCTGCTGTTGCCACTGCTGTTGCTGCTGCTGTTGCTGCTGCACTGTCTTACCTGTTTCTGCTGCTGCTGTTGCTGCTTATTGACTCTCTTGTGCAGCCGTCAGTATGCAGAGCAGTCGGTTGACCGTGTTTGATGTGGCGTAGGGTGTAGGGTTTAGGGTTTAGGGTTTAGGGTTTAGGGTTTAGGGTTTAGGGTTTAGG